GGACCACCTGCCAGATCAAACTCGGCAAAGCTGAGAAGTGCGGCGACAGAAAATAGGGATGGATTTATGCAGAGCTGTAGAAATCAAGCGCAGCTGATATTCGGTCAAAAATATACCTCCGCAGCGTATGGGTTCAACTTGTTGGCACATGTATTTTGAGTAATATTTGTTTGGACTGAAAGGTTTTCACTCATCGGACCCAGAAAAAGCCTTTTCTCAGCCAAAAAGCACATTTTGGTAGTGCTCCCACCCATCGCTGCTAGACCGCTAAAAGTGCAAGTTCGACTTTCATCGGTACACGCAATTTTCCATCAGCGGCTTGACTTATTTGGTCTGAACAGGTGCCTGACGCAGAAGTCTTCTGAATTGCTTAAGAAGAGCCTCAGTAGAGCAGAAGCCAGGTGTTTTATATCCCCTTCTTTTATGTGGCATCTCCCGAAAGAATGTACTGCTTAAGCATGATGGAGCCGACGAACACGCAGGCGACGAGGTTAAGTAGTTGTATCTATTTGGAGTGCGTGGTTGTACTGTCAATGTTTGAGAAATAGTTGCGCCAACTCCTAACCCTAACCTCTAACCATAACCCCTAACCTTAAACCTTAACCCCAACCCCAACAATACTGTTTCCATCAGGTGAGGCTACCAAACCATATCTTACCGTAAAATATTCACCAAATTTCTGAAACGTATTTTCTATTAGAAAATATTTATTAGGTGGGATTGCAACGATGATTATCTTGACCATACAGCAGATGTGCTAACTCATGAAATGTTAACCGAAATTCTGAAATGCCGTTTTGACTTGAAAAGATTAATTAAGTAGGGTTGTAATATAAATCATCATCCGGCCTAACCCCAAGATATTTCAATTACTTGGGGATGTCAGCTTTTAAACGAATGTCTTTTTGGCTGCCTATGAAAACCGCGCTCTGTAAAAAATGACCAATGAATTTGTAGGAATTTTTCGAATTTCTTCCCAATGGCTTTATATATTCAAATATTTCATGGAAAGTATGCGCACAAATGTTTATTGTTTTACAAATTTTTGTGGAGAATTACGTCTTTTTCAAATGCTACACTTGAAGAAAGGGTAAAATTGGTTCTAAAAAGTATTTGATCATGAGATTTATCAAGACTGTGAAATGTCCGTTCATAAAACCTCGTGCTGCTGCATTTACTGATGTTGCTTTTACAATTTACAATATGGCTCAAATTCACTGCAAAATTTCATCTACTCCATGTGGTTTCCTCTTATTAACGCATAGGAATATATGATTTTCCGTACATGAAAAATATACTGCTTGTAGTTTAAAAACCCTGAATGCAAGTATAACGTCACATCTGGTTCAAAATCACTCGGGAATTGAGAACGTTTTTAAAACTGAATTATACCCTGCCTTAAAGCATAAAAATTAAAGAAGACGTAATTTTCTTTCAAATGAGCAAATGATTGAATAGTGTTATGCATGTCCTCTGTGACATCCCGAAGTAACTGAAATACCCTAGGGTTATGTCGCATGGCGATTAACATTACAACCCTACTTAATTAATTTTTCCGAGTCGAAAAAACATTTCAGAGTTCCGGTTAGTTCATCTCCCGTAATTTTCAGATATTTCAGTCACGCCAGAATGCTAAATATTGAATGAGTCTCATTTTGGCAGCCTGCTTTAATCACGTTTACTAGAAGATGGCTACATAAATAGTACGAATTTTTTCCTTTAGTTTTAACGTATTTTACATATTCAGTTGAGTGCAATACCTTGGGCTACTGTCGGTCTCCTATGGTCGGTCGTTTAAATAATCTACATTTCTGTTACTCCATATCGCCGCCTTTCATAATGTCTGACTTCGTTAACTCCTTATTACCGTGCAAACTTGTATGTACAATATTCTTTCATTTGAAACCGTCAGAAATTTGTAGTTTGTTTTGTTGCGTTTCACTTCGAAAACTGAGGGCTTTCTCCAATTCTGACTAATAACAATTTTTCCCTCTATCCTTCATGATAGGTTCCTTTTAGACTTATCATGCTCAAGCAATACTTTCTTTCGGGAGATGCCACATACAAGAAGAGGATATAAAACACCTGGCTTCTGCTCTACTGAGGATCTACTTAAGCAATTCAGAAGACTCTGCGTCAGGCACGTGTTCAGCCCAAATCAGTCAAGCTGCTGATAGAAAATTACGTGTACCGCTGAAAGTCGAACTTGCACTTTTGGCGGTCTAGCAGCGTTGGGTGGAAGCACTACCAAAATGTGCTTTTTGGCTGAAATAGGCTTTTTCTGGGTCCGATGAGTGAAAACCTTTCAGTCCAAACAAATATTATTAAAAATATATGCGCCAACAATTTGCACTCATACGCTGCGGAGGTATATTTCTGACCGCGATTGAGTTCTACCCCGTTGCATATATGGTGAATTCACCTTGAAAACGTACAGTTTGATGTATTGACCTGGGTTGTATACGCCGACCAGCTTCGAAGCGAACGTATAAAGTTTTGCAATTAGCACGGTGTGTTTAAACATTGACGTGCTGATGAAAAAATCGATGAGCACAAACAAACGGTCGTTGTCGGTATTTCTATGGGTGAAGGGCGCTTAAAAGTTGACACCTGTTCAATGATGGACGCCATTCTCTGTAGTTCCAGCTGGTACAGTATTATTTTGTTAACAAAGCTATAAAAACCTGCTACGATACAGCAAAAGCGAGTTCTGCACTGTCTGTGGCACTGTTTGGGTCTTTTATCGCGCGCGATGCGGAGGGCCAGCACGCCATCACAGGAAGTTCACATCGCGCTGGAGAGGTCCAGTGCGATTGCTTATTTATGCATTGGAATTGTCGTCGCACACATCCACAGGGATTTAGCCTTCGGATTTCCAAGCGTTACCTTCTAAGTAATATTTACTAATTTGTTTTAAGTAGGCTGTCTTTCGCGTAACTGCCTGTTACGACTATGGTGTACTAACCTCTTCTGACATGCCGCCAATTATATGCCTTCAAATGCGTTGCAATTTCAGAACTCTGGAAGCGCCTGTTACTGATTAACATAAGCTGCCTTCGATGTTTCCTTATCTCCCCAAGAAGACCTTACTTTGTCATGCACACCATTTAAGCCGTGCAGTCTGATATTTAACAGCACATCCACTGGGGAAACTTCTTCACTGACACTTCTGACCGAACCAGTTACTGACTAAAGGTGGGACTGAAATATGAAAGTCGAGACCATGATGGCCGGCCTGACCCACTGAAAGCCAACTCTCGTTCCCTCCCGGTCTGTCGCGCCTAGGTGAGGTCCCCCTACAGTGAGTGACCAATCCCATGAAATAATGTTGCTGATTAGGAGGATTTCCTGGGTGAGATTACAATACTAACTATCACGCGTCATAATCCCATATTTTTTCGGACTGGCCAGAGTGTTGACTTCTGAACCCACTTCTTTTCGAATTCCTGTAAGAGCCTCACACGGTAAAAATGACTTCCCTGACGTTACCCCTTATGGTATATCCTTCGGCATACCTTTATCAGTACCCATTTCTATTGCGGCATATCTACTCTCTTAGCAAGCTTGTCGTCGGACCTCGGCATCTCTCTTCTTTGTCAGCTGACGACTGGCATTGAGCCACGGCTTTCTTATTTTGCAAAGTAGTTCGACTCTACCAAGTAATGTAGCACGCATTCTAACCATTACGGTTGCGTGTGAGTGAGTGGCACGATTAGACGGTCTGACCAACCGACGCTAGCTTGGACCAATCGGCGAACAGTAAATCGTCGATATGCGTCGAATTTGTTGATCCAACGCCAGCCGCCAAACTGTTCCGCTGGGTTGCTCGCCTTCCCCAACGTGCTGTCGTACCAGCTCTAGGCGTGCGTGACCTAACCAACCACGCTTCGGCAAGCAGACTGAATCTGAAAATCCAGGCCATCCTCTCAGTCTTGCCCTGCGAATTCCGATCTCAGACGATCATCCACCCGTTTGCGCATTGGGTAGGTTTGCCCCGGTTAAGTGCACTCCAACTCCTACTTATGTCGTTTCAGTAGGCTAAATTAAGTTCCTTGAAAACCTATTTGATTGCATTCCGGTTACACATATTTTCCGCAAAAAAAAACCCATTCAAACTCAGCCACACATAAGCCACACCGGTTCTGCTCTCCACCGTTTGGTCCAACTGCGTGTCTTACATAATTAACCAGCAAAAACTGTTGATTTGATCGTCGGCGTTTCCTGCGGTAGCAAACAGGAAAGTGTAGATCAAAATTCTTTAAAGAAGGCTTCTCCGCAATCGTCTGAAGTCCGTGCGGTCCTGTGTTATAGTTGCGTCGCCTGGCTCAACCTTTGGCACTGATCCACTGACGCGCTTCCCCCTTACGATGGAGAACCATCAACAGAGGGCTACCTCAATGCCGCGTCTCCGCACACACATTTTCCCTGTCAGTAGATGATAATCAGTGCGCAGCTGGTAGGGACTGGACGCAACCAATGGAAACGACATTGTGTATCAGCGACAAGGCCCTTTTGAAGCGTACGCGTGATTCGACCGCAGTAACACAGAACACACTCCCTGCCCCAGAATCCGGCACTTTAAACTCAATCTTCGCTTTGTACGTCTCAACGTATTGGCCCTGTACTCACGAGTTTGCAAGGCCTAAGCCTGAGAGACGCACAGCTCATATGCATGACCATCCCTGACTGTGCTCACAGTCAACAGTCTATCTTGTCCTCTATCTCTGCTGAAGCCTAGCGATTGCAATAGAAGAAAGACAGGCCTACTGAACTGGAGTTCGCGGCAACATTAAGAACCCAAGTTTGAGCCATCAAAAACGCTCCACAGTTTCGTAGTTTTGTGTATATTAAAGATGTACGGTGCGTCTATGGCTTGTGGTGCAAAAAGGTAGCAGCTAGTGATATGTGCGAAAGACAAACTTTACAGAATGGCGGAAGCAAGGCAAATCATGTGAAAATATAGTATCTGCTGAAATAATTTCAGTAGGCAGTATAGCGTCTTAAGGTCCGCTGTTTGCGGAGGAACGCTTGGCCTCCTCAGCGGCCTGTGCAGCAACCTCGATGGCAAGTGGAATCCAGTGAGCCGGAACCCATTGTGGCTTCCGATCTAGATTCAGAGCGATCTTGCGGAGCTCCTGCAGAGCCGACTGAAAGTCCTGTGGAACCACAACAAAGTCAAAGAAGTGTCCATAATGCATCTCTATCTTCTTGCTCTGCTCGATGCAGGCTGCCAGTTCGTCATCCTGGAAAGCAAAGAAAACAGAGAAAAGTAGGCAAAATAACCTAGGACGAACGTAGCCAAGTGGATGTGCCCCCATTTTCCGCATGAATTCTCAACTTAGAATAGACCAATGATAGGGGGTGTTCACCGATCGTTCTAACGGAACTCGCTCGTTCCGTTGTGCCTTATGGGCTCTCTCCCTCGAGCCCAACCAGCAGCCGCACAGCGGTGCATGATATAGGCAGTATGTTATTACCGACAAAGACAAGGGAGACTGGAATGACCATTGCTGGCTTGCTACCCGTCATCAGCCAGTCATATCCGTCCGCTCGGGGTGTTTGCAAACAGCCCCCTTTGCCCATTGTTTGGATTACAGCTGTCCATATCATGCGTCGCTATGTGGCTGCTGGTTGGGCTAAGGAGATAGCCCGTAAGGCACAACGGAACGAGCGAGTTCCGTAAGAACGATCGGTGTGCGCTCCCTACCATTGTATATTCCCGATCAAAACCGACAGGGCTACGGGCTCGTGGCCAAGTGGTTAGAGGAGTGGACTTCTAATTAACAGGTCGCGAGTTCGAGCCTCGCGTGTTCCACACTTCGGGGTTGGGTATGACTGGCTGACGACGGTTAATAGGCCAGAAATGGCCATTCCAGTCTCCTTTGTCTTTGTCGGTAATGCCATTCTGCTTAGAATAGACCGTCCTTCGATCAGACACTAGTTGCAGTTTCGAAAGAGTAGTTCACGTCAGTAGTGGAGTATGTCAAAGCAGAGCATAGTATACTGTGTATATGTATTAATGAAAGATTTTAAAACCTGCGAGCTGAAAAAGGCAGAAGCCCTCATTGACTGAGATTAATTCAACCTTCTGTCATGCACACAATCTGCTCAAATATGTAACAGAAGAAAGAGGGATAAGCTGAAGACTGGTCTCCACTTTCTGAAGTCGACCGGAAAGGTTACCTCGGAGAGGTTCGGAGTGCAGTCGGGACGTAAAACACTTTTGAACAACAAGATCACGCCTCGAGAATACCCCCTGGGAGGAAACGACTTGACAACTACTGGCCAAGCGACTTGTAGTCGGCAAGTAGCGAAACCTGCCTCCCGCCTCCACACGAGAATGTACCATTAGCCTCCAAAGACTCACTAGAAAGCAGCACACACTAGAAATTCCCCAACGTCACAGCCTCCCAGTCCGAGGAATAACTCTCAGCGACAAGCAGACCAAGCCGACAAGTCTACCCAAGAGGTGTCAACGGCGACCGCGACATAGTGAGTTCGTGGACGTCGTGTTGTTCTAATCAACTGCAGTGACGCGCCATCGACAGCAAGCACGGCCGATAGATCTCCTCTTAGACTAACCCCCACGCCCGAAGGCAGCTGTAGCAACTACTAACCACCACAATTTCTCGGTTCAGAATCGTCCAGGAAGAGGAGGCGTTTATTCTGTACAGAAATCTGACGTTGGTCCCAGGCATTGAGGCCCGCATGCGCGTCCCACAGTAAGGTTGGCGTGGACGTGTAAATGTCACGTGAGAGTCAGTCAGTGGCGTGACGGCTTAGTGAACTGATTGGGTGGCTCCGAGTTGGTGGATGCCTGCGATTGGCTGCCCTCGATTACCCGCCCCAATAGCAGTAACGGAAAAAAGTGTGAGTCCTGTATTCAACACGAATGGGTTGACGCCTATTTTGATGGCTGCGAAACGCTGAAAACAAGCCGAGAATTGATTAAAGCCTGGGCCTTGGATGAGAACTCAGTCAAATGATTTATCGATCCGGCGCCTGAGCAGTCACCTCCAATCTTCCACCGTCAGTCGATGATTGGCCTAAATGCCCTGTAATTATCTCTGACGATGGAGTCCTGCACGAGTTCGGAGGTTCAAAACAAAGTGTCCCGGTGCTCGACCCTCCTTCTGCTTTACTTCCGCATACAGCTGGGACTCGAACTTTCGCCTTCATTCGTGCTAATTATAGAATAAAGATAAAAGAGGGTGGATGGCGGATATTAAAAGCAACCTACCGAGCACATAGTGGGTGAAAAAATGGCCGCCGTAAGTTGACGAAGATGTTCCAGCCTTTCTGGCGGGGAAATGAATACCACACAGGGCAGGAACGGTGTCCTGCGAATAGAGCGTATCGACTGAAACAGAAAATGCAGGACAAATAATACTGCGCTCGCAGGCAGTAGCGGCGGCGGCGGAGTCGGCCCTTCTCCACAGAACAAAAGCGTGGCGATATAAAATAGACAGAAGAGACTGCATGACACGCGTTTACTGTCCGGAGGCCTTTGTCTGCTATGTCAATGAAACCTGGGTTTGGAAGACCTGCGCCTGATGCGACTGGGTGTTCTGACCACCAATTAAAGTCAATGGCTAAACAGAGAACAAACAGGATGACAGACGGGGAGTATCCGCATTTATGACCTGAAAGCCTCCAGTCAGACTTGAGTGGAAGTGATGGCAGAGGTAGTAGCAGCGGAAACGGTAGTAGTAGTAGTAGTAGTAGTAGTAGTAGTAGTAGTAGTAGTAGTAGTAGTAGTAGTAGTAGTAGTAGTAGTAGTAG